TTCGTCCTCCCGCTCTGCTGTGAGTATGGCTGGGACACCAGAGCCAGCACGTGGCAGGCAGCAGGAGGTGGTGTGGGCACAGGACAGCCACATCCCGTGCCCACCAGGGAGGGGCGGCCAGAGGGTTCCAGTGCTGGGGCAGGTTCTCACAGGTGCTTCCCCCTAGGAGAGCTGTGCCAGCCTGCGCCACTACCTTGTCTCCACCCTGGGTCCCTACGTGGCCAACGTGACAGCAGCAGCCCGGGAGTGCAGCTACGGGCAGTGCCATGGGCATGGGCGCTGTGTGCGCCAGCAGCCCCACAACCTCGGCAGCCTCCTGCACCTTGGCCCCGGCGCTGGGCCACCAGCTGCTTTCCGCTGCCACTGCTACCGTGGCTGGGCTGGCAAGGACTGTGCCTGGCGGGTCCAGCCCGGCCCTGCTACCGCCTGCCTGGCTCACAGCCTCTACAGGCACAATGATCTCCCACCCCCTGACACCTGCCTGCCATGGGGCATGTGGGGACGGTGACTAGGGCTGGGGACCACCACGGTCCCCTATGCTGGCAGTGCTGCTGCCTGGCACTTCCTGTGGGCTCATTAACTTGAATAAATCCTCCTGGCACAGCTGGCATGGTCCTTGTGGGCAAAGGTGGGGGTTCCGTCGTGCTCCCAGGCTGGGCACAATTGCCATTGCTGCGGGGGGGTGGCAGACACCCCAGCTTGGCTCTGGCTGGGCCCACCCGTGCCTGTTTCCCCACACAGGCTCTACCCTGCGGTCACCCCCATCCCACAGTGAGCTGGCAGCCCCTTTACCCCAGGAAGGGGGAAGGGACACCGTTGCAGGCTGCTCTCCCTTTGCCATGCTGGCATCATGCTGCTGCCAGCCCTGACTGTGCTGCCAGGCCCCCCTCCCCACAGCTATTTTTATCCCCCCTCAACTGTGTTTCTCACTGTCCTATTTTAAGCGGCGCAGTTGGCGCACCAGGAACCCAGTGCCTAGCTCCCGGGGGCCCCGCACTGCCTCGCTGCCCACTCACGCTGCCCGGGCGCAGGGAGCCATGCCCAGGGAGGCTGGAGAAGGTAGGCTGGGGAGCAGGCTGTGGGCTGGCGGGGGCCCTGGCACCCTAGGGGGAAAACCAGGTGGCACTGGGCTGTGGGGTTGGGATGGAGGCAGCAGCCACACACTTGCTTCTGCTGCAGGGGCTGTGGGCAGAGATGCCCGCCCCAGGCAGAAGGGGGGTCCTGGAGGGCTATGGGCACAGGGCAGCAGGGCTTGGGGAGGGGGCAGGCAGATGGCTGGCGCAGTCCCTGGCACCAAACCTACATGCCTGGCTGTGCCCCCCAGCCAGGGGGGAGCAAATCCAGGGGGGGGCGGATGGG